TGAAAATATGGAAGCTTTTAGTGTCAGTCCCCTTCCTATTTGGGAATTGTTCGCATATATTATATACTCCCCGTTCTTCCTTCTCCCCAACCTCCAAGGCTCACATTTTCCTTAACCACACGTCCGTTACTCACATTCTTTTCTGTAGCCGTTTTTGTGGATTATGGATAGCAGCATGCCCAGAGAGTGTTCAGGCACCATGGCCCTGTTCTCCCTAAGCCAATTTCTTTAAGGTTGCTATATTTTGCTCAAGGCGCCACTCTAACTTTGCCTATTAAAGCACATTTTGCGCATATTCACGAGGGACTGCGCCATTCAATCAAGAATCAACTCTTGTATGCGACAAAGTCTATTCCAAATGAGCTACCGACAATATACGTGAACAGTAATAGATTATAAAAAATAGATCATAACTACCTACATCTAATACAACTTATAATATAGTTTGATTAGTGTATACGAACCGTGGCTCCCAGATGTGGATCTTTTCCGTATCGGCTTGCGTGTTGATAAAAGGCCAAGCTGGCGATTATCAACTTGCAACATTCCATTCTTCTGCTCCCCCACCTCTCTCTTCAAATGTTCAAATGGCGAGGGTCATTCTCCTAACCTCCATGAATAGTTCCTTTCTCTCTCGGACCTAAGTGCTTGCCTTCTCCCTTCCGGCATCACTCAATCTTCCCATTCCGCATCTCTTCCGTCTCCGCATCTGACGTCCAGCTCGTCGCTCTCCACAATGGCGGCAGCTTGGGGTGAGGTCTGTCGCCAATGCGTCAATGCTGCGCTGGAAACCCCAGTCCAGATCCTACTCATTGCTGCTCTAGCCAGTTTGCTGGGACTATTTGTCCTGGTGAGTCCACGTTTCCCCCACTCCGCTTGTACTAGTCAGATCGCGCGGTGGCACTCTAGACACGTACAGCTCCAATAGCTGACCTGCCAATTCTTTCTATTTTATAGTTCTCATTATTTATATTTTTCGTTGCGCCAGTCCCGCGAGAACCTCTACCAGAAGAAAAGAAGTATAGAACACTCGCCAAGGATGGATCCGTCACAGATCCCGAACCCCTACCCTGCTGGCTCGAAAGCCTAGACATCAAAAAAAGCCACAAAACCACTGCGTCCCACACAATCGCACCAGCCGAGCTATTCATGTCCGTCGTCGTACCAGCCTACAACGAGGAAGACCGGTTGACGGGCATGCTGGAAGAAGCCGTCAACTACCTGGAGCACATGTATGGGGACACGGCCAGCGCCATCGCCATCGCCAGCTCCAGCAATACAGGCACAATGGAGACGCGCTCAATGCGCAAACGCAACCCGAACGGAGATACCGCCAGCGACGCCGCAGGCTCGGCCGCAGACCGCGGCTGGGAGATCATCCTCGTCTCGGACGGGTCCACAGACCGCACGGAGGAAGTCGCGTTCCGGTTCGCGCGCGACCACCAGCTCTCTCTGCACCCGAAGGGACACGCGGGTCCGTGGACACCGCAGGCTGCGGAGGGCGTCCATATCCCGCCTGGCACGATCCGCGTCGTGAACTTGACCCATAACCGCGGCAAGGGCGGCGCGGTCACGCACGGTATGCGCCATGTCCGTGGGCAGTATGTTGTCTTTGCGGATGCGGATGGGGCGAGCAAGTTTGAGGATCTTGGTAAGCTCGTTAGGGCTTGTCGGGATGTGGAGGATGCGAAGAGGCGCGCGGTTGCTGTTGGATCGCGTGCGCATATGGTTGGGAGTGAGGCGGTGGTTAAGGTATGATATCTGATATCTCGATGCTTGCAAGGTGTATTACTGACTTGCTCGATAGCGATCCAAGCTTCGGAACTTCATGATGCACTCGTTCCATTTGATCCTGCGGCTCATGACGCCTCCTAAAACGGCTACTGTCAAGGATACGCAGTGCGGGTTCAAGCTGTTCTCCCGCAGTGCGTTGCCTTATATTGTGCCGTACATGCATTCCGAAGGCTGGATCTTCGATGTTGAGATGCTCATGCTGGCTGAGTTTGCTCGGATCCCTGTGGCTGAGGTGCCTGTGGGATGGAGGGAGGTTAAAGGTAGCAAATTGAATGTATTGCGAGATAGTATCGGCATGGCTTGGGGTCTGGCTGTTCTGCGGGCAGCTTGGTCGTTGGGTGTGTATAGACAGCGATGATCAGGTTTTGGAACTTGATCCTGGTATTTTCAAACAGTTTTTAATAATGAATATATTGCATCTCGAATTCCTTTTGAAGGCTCGGCTTCAGTCAGCTTCCGATATAGTTCTTAGTTCATAGCGCACTTTCCAAAAGAGCTTAATGTCTCTATGTGTTGGAAATATGCATAGCTTAGTTGTTTCACTAAAATGAATATAATTATGTACTCTTAGTATAGAATGTCAAAAAGAATGGCACTGGCACGTTTCATCATTCCTTATACTCGACAGTCTGCATCTGACAGATATACGATATGCGTCCATGGCATGTTGCTCAAGAGTGGACCTGAGACCTGGATGAAATAGATTGCACGTGTACATCTGCAAAGTCCTCAACCTTGTTTGGCGGTACGATTTCCTTGCTTCGTGTCCAATACAGCCAGTCGCAGTTCCGAAGTAAAAAGGTAAAGCAGACTCACACATCGGCTCCACTAATACATGGACCAAAAGGATAATCAGACCATTTAACTAAGGTTATATAAAAACTTGCAGACCATACATCCAAGAACAGGTACATACATGTAGAGACTACCTACGGAGTACTTATGTAGGTAACACAGCTTCGAACTTTAACACGCGGCGAAGTATATCGGCCTAGAGAATGCCGAGAGTATCTCGGCATTTCATATAAAGGGTCATGGTCTGATGCTTTGCATTTCATTCATCTACAGAGTACGGAGTATACACCTCTATTTTTTGTTGACCCTTTCTGATGGATCGAAAAATTTCTGACGCTGGCGACAGATCTATAGCGTTTAATGCACTTTCTTCTAGCGAAGCACATATCAAGCCAAACCTCACTCCGACAATACCACCTTCACGGCTTCTCCAACTCCCAGCCGAACTCCGTCTCAAGATCTACGAATATGCACTAGACGTACCAAACGAGTATCTAGTGAGCAAACCGATGATCGTACTAGGTGATCGCGGCAACAAATTCACAGCCCGTGGCCAATACCGCGCATTATCAATGAGTCCTCACTGGGTTGGCGAAGACGGCACCGCACGCAAGTTACTAGCGGTGAACCGCCAACTTCACGACGAAGCCGAAGACTACCTTTACTCAACGCACACCCTCTTCCTTCGCAACGCCTTCAATCTGGACCGACTAGCCGACTTCCTTGACACCCTCAGCGCAACCGCCCGCGCTCGCATCCGCAGCGTCGGCTTCGAGGTCTTCTTCTTCGTCCACACGGAGACTGGTGTGCCGAAGCGCACGCTGAAGCAATACGAGACCGCCGCACGACTTCTGTCTGAGAAACTTCCTCTCTGGAATAGTGTGTTGCTCTACCTCGATCCGCGATACTATTATCCGTCGGCGAACGTTGGTGGTCGGGATCTCACGGCCCGAGGGGTGTTTGATCTCGCCACGCTCTTCGGCGCTTTGTGTAAGGATGTGAGCTTCTATCCGCTGCCGAATGGTGATCAGCATCTGCTTGATGAGGCTCAGCAGTTTGTTTGGCGGAGCCGTTCGCCATTGAGACAGTCTGATGGTCGGTCTATTAAGGGGTGTTCGGCTTGGTCTTTGGTTTGCTGAGAGTTTTTCTTCCCTTCGTTTTTTTTTTCTTTTTCTGTTTCTATACATACATCCTTTTGCTTTTCTTTGTGACATCTTTTAGCATTAACCTCGGCTAATCTTTGACTCGGTGTTTTAACTAGCCTTCCTAGCCCGGCGTTATGACGTCTGAGCGCAGATTATACTGGTCAACTGCGGCACGGCACATCTTTGGCGCAGTGGCGTAGGGCGTGCATTTCTTTTGACCTCTCCATTCTTGTTTATTTCACTAATTCCGCACATGAAATTATAAACATACCTTTACGGATATAGTGCGCTTGTTGATGATATATATTGACACACATAGATGGCCTACCTCGAGCTAATACGAAAGACTTCTACTCGTCAAACAGTCTAACAAACATAATCCTTAAAATCAGCCTGCACGACCTTGGACTTTCTTTGTTGCTGATTTTATAAGTATGTGAGATGGCCCATCCTCACCCTGCTCTCACCCTTCTCTGTTTGCAATATATCTGAAATTTGGAGCGAAACGAGGAAATATATACATAAATGCTATATTGACCTGTAATACTCGCTCTACCAGAGAGCCATAGCAGGGAATATATAAAGAATCGGCTCACAATATGAGGATGGTACGGGTTTCTCAAGCCCTATAGTCCTGAGGTATCTGGCGAACTCTGTCACTAGAGCACCTTCACTTCAATTTCACTTTCACCTTCACTATTGGATTCTTCTCCAAATATTATGTATGTGTATATATATATCCATACCAGATCTTCTGATATATCCTACATCATCTTATTAATGATATTTCCTATTAGAGCCCTTTGACGTCATAAGGTGCATCCGTTGACATTTTCGGACATCTTTCGGTTGCCTTCTCCATTTCCCACTGTAACCTCCTCATTTTCCCGGAATTTGTGGGGTCTATGATCCAGTCTAACCTTGGAATATTCATCTTTACTTATCTCTCCTTCTCTCCGGGAATTTCGTACCTGAAAGCTACCCAAATCCTAAATCTGCCCAACCATCCATTTATCGAACGTGACCCAATTGACATGGGCCGCATTGGGAATCTCGCATGAAATTCCGTTAGATGGCCAGCTCTGAGCTCATTGACCGCTTCTAGGAACTCCACTGGCCTACGTGGAAAAGCTGTGCAGGGTTGGGCACTATTATGATTATCGTGTTACTATCCTCCACGCTACTATCGTGCATGTGTCTATCACTAATAGATCCTTATCTGCCGATTTGCGCTGATTATCGTGAGAAAAAAACATCTCAGACACCATGAAGACTACCAAATTACTAGATGGCCACGGAAGTCTTTACAAAGAAGTACGCTTCTCTCCGACCGAAACCCCTATCCGTCGCACAAAATCCGTTTCAGCCACATTTCCTCCTGTCATTTCAGGCTACGGCCGAACCGCATTCCAAAACTCGGTTTTGGTGGATTCGTTCGCCATGGATACTTCCTATATCGACCAATCGCGGGCGCTTCTCCAGAGCCAACGGGTGAACTTTGAGACGGAGAGGGAATTGTTCGCGCAGGAGCGACAGTTGTGGGAAAAAGAGCGGGCGGTATTACGATCGAAAATTGCCGAGCTGGAGGGGTTAGTGAGGGCTCCAGGGAACAGATCAAATCAAATGGGATCGGAAGCGTCCAAACTTGTGCTTGCAGGTGGAATATCGCAGTATAGCACAAATGGCTTCGCAGCTCAGGTGTGGGAGGGGAAAAGTCTAAGCAATCGACCAACAAGGGTGTTCTTCGATCATGGATCTCCAGACCAAAGCTATCTATCGCCAATCTCTGAAAGTGGGAATCCACCATCCCTTGATCGGGCCCTTTCACCCCAGTCGCGACAAGTAGACCCTTCTGGCGCGCCGAGTCAGCCGGTGCCGATCGAAAAGCTCGACAGCACCTTGGATGGCATCACGCTCAAGTCCACGGCGCTGCCACCGGCCGTGGTGGCTCGAGTCATCACCCCGCCCTCCCCGTCGCCCCTGGTAACCCCCCCTTCAACTGCCCCTTCAACTGCTGCAAGGCCTGCCATCGAACATCGAAACAGTCTCAAATTGAAGCTGTCAGAGCTCGGCCCGCCCAATGAGAACTTGCTCCGCCATGCAGGTCACACCCCAATGGCAATCATCGACGCTGATGATAGTCGGCGGTCCACGCAGGAGGGGACTCCCCTCGAGGTTGCCTGCCAGATGGAGGAGGCTCCTTTTGCACCCGTGGCAACGAACGTCCATCAACCTTCCGAAAATGAAATCTCCTACTTTCCGGATGTGCCAGAGGACCCCGCTCTCAAGGGACCCCTCGGTCTGACTAATGACGAGGAGCACGACTCCAATTTTTTGAATGAACTGGATCAGAAACTCCTTGATCAAGCGAAACATATTCTAGGCAGCTCGGTTGAATCGGCAGATCCTAATGAGACTGATTCTGAGTCTGAGTTCCCTCGCGAAGAGGAAGAACCTGAAATCAAATTCAAGAAATCAACTAATTTTGGCACTGCATTTGGAATATCGAACTCGAGTCATGTCTAAGGAAACACATATTTTCCATCTACGCTTGGATCTCTGTATCTGTGTGCGATAGATCGCATGTCTATTGCGGATCTCTTCATGTTTCTTCTTCTTTTCTTGGAGCAGCATATGCTTTTGATGCTGTAACTATTTTTATATCTTCTTTCTCCCTTCTGGCGAAATACCTTACGAGATTATGATCTATGGTGATATGTGCAATACAACCTCATTTATTTCAATTGTTTCGGATTTCTATCACGTCTGTGATTTTTGGGTTGCCTTGACTTCACAACAGTCCTAGCAAGTTGCGGTTGGACTCACCTATGTTGGAGTTCCTTGCGTGATGTATATGCACTCCATCTTAATCCAATATCCTGATTGGTACCTTCGGATTCTCTTGCAGTGAATGTCTCTGTGCCTTATTGGCTCCTATCCCTTGCGTCGACACAACCTTTCTTCCCCATTCGGATGCACGTGTCTTCGCATTCTCCAAACCACGATCTGCATCCCATACAGTGAGAATCACGCCAATCCTGTCCTAACTGAGCCAAGACAGCTCGGAGACTCGGGGTATGGCTCGTGCATAAGCTTCTCGCTGCTCGCTCAGGACACATCGGGTCTCTTGACACAGCTGCAGGTCCTTACTATCGAAGCATGTTGCTTGGATGCCTAATTTCCAATTACTTGGGCCCAGACCCCCTAAGATCTGATGTCTCTCCTGATTTCCTTTCTCGGCAACTGTCGTTGACTCTGTGCCTTGCAGATCACTGCCCTTGTGGCTTTTTTAGACGAGTGCCACCAGGGACTAGTTCGTGCCTTGCAGAAATCTCCCTATCTGGTCCTATCTGGTCCTGGATAGGGTCCTCGGCTCTCCCCATACTGTTCAAGTGTATACTCTGCTTGGATGCCAAAAAGTACATAAGGGTCATTGCTCACGCCTCCTCTTCTATTCTTCATCAACCATCACAGTCTCTAAACAGTCATTCGCTCTTTTCTCTCTTTCCCAACTCTCTTTCAATCTCTTCATCGTAACGTTTCCAATCTTCGGATTCATTTAATAGACAACCTCCATCTTCGTCTCTTCCAAACCAACAAGACAAACCACCCTACCGCAACAATGGTCTCCACTACTATCAACTTCTCCGGCCTCATGTGCCTCGTCCTTGCTCTCGGCCCTGCCAATGTGCTCTCTGCACCCCAGCTGCCCGCTCTCCCATTCCCCGAGATCATCAACCACGGCCCGGAGACCACCAACCAGGGCCCAGGAAACAGCGAGACCTCCGCCGGCAGCGGCGTCAAAGTCGGCATTCCAGGCGGTCCCTACGTGAACGTCGGCGCCGGATTCCACGACGTCCAACGCGGCCCCTGCGGCCCCGGCGCAGGCGATGACCACGCCGCTGGCGCCGGTGTCAACGTTGGTATCCCCGGCGGCCCTAGCGTCAACGTCGGCAATGGCGAGCACCACCACCAGGACGGCTACCCTTGCCCCGAGCCTCCCATCGTCATGCCCACTACCACCACTGTCATCCCTCCCACCGAGACTGTTACTCCCCCCGTCCAGACTGCCCACCCTCCTACTTGGACTGTCCCTACTATCCTCCCTCCCACCTTTACCACCCCCATCTCCGTTCCCCTAAGCACCGCCCCGGCCGCCTGGGCACCCTCCGTCTCCACCCCTCTGATCCGCCACGCCACGCCCACCGCATCGCTCTCGCCTTCCGCCGCGCCTTCTGTGCCCGTCCAGCCCGTCTTCAATGCCGGCTCGCCTCTGGTTCCCGGATCCGTACTCGCAGTGGCTCTTCCCGTTATCTTGGCTTTCTTCAACTAGAGCCCCTGTTTTACCGGACATCTCCCAAACACGATAAACAAATGGCGAAAACGACCTGGATAGACCATCTGTCAGCGACATCGTTGGTCTATCTAATGATTGATCGGACCTGTGTATTTTCTATATTCTTCCTTGTCTACTTTTCTTTTTATAATTTGTCATCGTCGGCTGGTGTACTCACCCCCAGATTACCTGTATCTTCTGTGCTCAGCGAGGGCCGATATTTATTACTTACTCTTTTTTGTTTGGCTCTTGTCTAGCTACTGCGGAAGGTTGTCTGATCTGTTCACTTTGGGCGTCCGCGCGTGCTTTGCACTATTCGGAGTTCTTATGTGGTTTGCTGTTGTTACTTGTGGCTTTTGATATTGTTACTCTCAATTGGAATATATATTACTTTGATATATACCGAGTTTTAAGTACTACCAGATTTAGTAGTATACACATAGTTTCGTGGTACAAAGATCGATACCTATCTCCTTGGTAGATCGTCCAACATACGTACCATCTCATCCATACCACCACTCTCATACCTTCCGCTTTAAGACTATTATATTAATCTTGAGTGGATCGAGACTAAGCTTGAAGTAAGCTTGAATACCTAGAATAATCACATAAAAATAAGGCCTTACCACTGTCTTGATCTAAATACATATCCATTTGATACATCAACCTTCTCCTCCTGGGCTTACTTCGGGAACGCAAGGGGCTCTATTATGATCTCGGTATGCAAGATGCCTACTCTGGAATCTTCACAGATCGTAGTAAATTTGCCATGGGAAACTTCCCAAAGCCCAACGAAAATAATACACAGCAAAAGCAACCCAGGGAAGGGGGAGGGGGGACTCCCCTCCTCCTGCTCCCAGAAGCAGATTAACGCCAAACTCATGTCACGTCATGCATATCACGTTTCGAGAATCAAGAACAAGGGAGCAGGGCGCCAGATCCTAGCCACTATCCAGTCCAACTTGTCCGAGGCATATAGCTGCCTGGGAAGTGCGGATCGGATAAGACGAGTCTGTATCCAATCCAAAGGAATTATACCCCCATCGTAAAGTCGTGCTCAATGCCCGGCGTCACACTGGCAATGAACTTGAGGAACACAACTAGGTACTGGTCTACCCGGATGGCGACCTGTTCTTCCTCATCACGTTGCAGCATTTCCCACTCGTCTCCGCCAGGCTGTGCGTGGTGGGAGTCCCCAAGTGACATATTCTTCGTCTCATCCACCAGGCCTTCCAATCCGCCGCCTGCCCGAAGAACACGGTCCGCTTCCTCTCGCGACTGCGTCTGCTTGAGCTTGTCGCGGCGCAGCTTGAGTGCGGCATCGGCACGATCCAAAAGTGTCTTCATCACAGAGGCGTGGCGGCATGGGTGTACACTGGCCATCTTGACGCTGCCCTCGAACCATGGGAAGTCCTCTAACGTCACGGTCTTGTCTTTGTAGTCGCCGACGATATCCTCCATCATCAGATGTGGTGGAAGCGGTTCCGATGGCGACAAATAGCCGGAAAGGTACAGGCGGGGCGTGCGGTAGAAGTTCGAGTAGGTAATGTAAAGGGTATAAGTGCGGAGAGATCTGGAGCGATGACGAGTCACGGGTTAGAAAAGAGAGCAAGGTGAAGTCTGAAGACAGGGAAATGGCACTCACGGCGTCCCTGAGTGATCATCTGTCTCTCGGATGATGGCTTCCTCATCATCGTCTTCATCCTCCATATCGGGGATATCATCATCCTCCTCCTGCTCGCCCAGATTTCCGGATTCATCGACGGTTCGCACGTCACGAATCCGAGCTTCTTGCTTATCATGGTCCGCCCCAGCGTCGCGGCCACCCCCAGTCCGCAACCACCCATCCTCCCCATCGTCAGCTGCTCTGCCTTCACCGCCATCACCGCCCGAGAGGAAATCCCTCACGATCTCATCCTCGAGCCCTGCATCTCCGGCAAAGTTGTCATTCAGTCTCCGATGACACGGTACTCCGCGAGTAACCAAGAACTGCTTGCCGTCTGGAAGGTAGGATACACGTTTTGCCGGACTTGATGCGTCGGCCCATGACCATGTGGGGAACTTGTAGACCAGATAATCTCCGGCGAGAACAAACTCCTCTGGGGTGATTTGGCCGGTGTTGCGGAAGGTGGAGGTGCGTGATACTGGGGCCAGGCGATCCCGCCAGGTTGACAGTGTAGAGTGTAGGATATTCATAGTGTTTCACAGGTGAGAGTGAAGAAAGAGATACGAAAGAAGCGCCGGCGGGGGTAAATGATAAGCGGTGGAGCACATGATCCGCCCCGCGTCCACGGGTGAGCGTCATTTGAACTGATATTCACGTGATCGTGTATGCTTATGTAAGAAAGTTATTTTGTTCCTCCTTTGGTTTGTACTACACTCTTCAAATGTTCCCCCTGGAACACACCTCCTATCTTTCTTGGATATATCTCCTACTCTTACAAAGCCTTTTTGGCTCATTAATTATCACCTTTTATGGTGCAGTTTCTGAATCGTAGCTTCAATAACCCCCATGATTCAATCTCGGATCCCGGGAGCTCTTATTGGCACCGATGCTCCCGCGGACTCTGAAGGGTGAAGGTCATGGTGCTCTACGTACTACATAGCGCGTGGCATACAAACGTAATGATCTTTCAACTATGTCATTTGCAATGTTCTCTGACAACTTAGCCAGTTCCAACTCTATAACCGTAATAAATCCTATTGCCGCGATTTGAACCAATTCATCGAACATGATAACGGTAGTATGATAAGGCTAAATGGCAGCCTTTAGCTCTTTACCACCCATTTAGAGCTGCATTCCCAAACAACTTGACTCGTCGAAGGAGCTTCACACGGGCGCGGACACCCCATCCCATATGGGATTCTCACCTCTAAGACGTCCCGTTCCAGGGCACTTAGATGGGGACCGCTCCCGAAGCATCCTCTGCAAATTACAATGCGGTCCCCGAAGGAGCCAGCTTTCAAATTCGAGCTTTTGCCGCTCCACTCGCCGTTACTGGGACAATCCCTGTTGGTTTCTTTTCCTCCGCTCATTGATATGCTTAAGTTCAGCGGGTATCCCTGCCTGATCCGAGGTCAACCTATACAAATTGGGGTTGATCGGCAAGGGCCAACCGGGCCTACAGAGCGGATGACAAAGCCCCATACGCTCGAGGACCGGGCGCGGTGCCGCCTCTGCCTTCGGGATCGAAGGACGGGGCCCAACACACAAGCCGTTCTTAAAACCTCAACGAACTCCGTGATGCTTGAAGAATACATATCTTCTGCTGGCCGCCTTGTACTCCGCTTACGGTTCCCTACCTCACCCCTCTTTTACCGTAGTCATCCTCGTAATGAAGCAGAACTACATCCTCCAAAATCTAGATCGCACGCATATGCGCTTTTGCGGATGTTCACCCCGTAAACCCAAGAGCCCACGTCTTGCCACTTCTGACAAGACCTTGAAGAGCCTTATACATCCATCAGCAGCCCGAATGTGAGACTTGATCCAAAATCGCCGGATAAAGAGGCTCGCTACCCTTGAAGTCGGGCAAGAGCAAACTGCTACATTATCGAACAGGACAAACGGTCTCGAGCTTGGGTCACCAGGTGAGTAATACTTTGAAATGGAGCGAACGAGGAGTGCTAACATGTTCTATCTGTAGACGGAAACGGCTGCATATGGGTGAGGATAAGAGACGAAACCGACCAACTAGATCTGAAAAATTGGACACTACTATCAAGGCTCAAAAACGTTGTGATCCTATCGCCTTTGATCTTCGCGCATGCATGGGCCCAATCCCCTCCTCAATTCAATCCTACCGAGAAGCTTCCCCCGACCAGCATGAGCGGTAGTCAATGGGCTAAGAAGTGCAGTGAGCAGCAGCGTTCCAGAATCAATGGCCGCTGTGCTCAGTGTGGTGGTGGATATCATGATGCTACTGTTTGTTTCCTTGTCAACCCGTCAAAGCGTCCTCCTAACTATGCCCTGCGAGGAAAAGTCTGGGGTTTGAAGAACGGCAAGTCTTCTAACAATAGCAACGGCAATTCCAATGGCGGCAAGACGAAATTCAAGGTCGCCAAGTCCAACCAGTTCTCTGGAGAGCAACAAAACGATACAATCGTGCCATCAATCGAGCTGTTATGGACGAAACTTGCAAGCGATTCTTAACCAAAGAACATCGACCTTGAAACCCTTCATTCACGTTTGAATGCTCCCTCTGACGCTCGGTGTAGCGACCACCAATCGAGGGACTCAAGTGATGAAGAAACAAGGGGCAGACAACTGCTAAGGACCTCAAGCTATGTGAGCAATCCATGGGCTGAGCTTTGGGGTCCCATCAACATACCGAGCGATACGCAGCATATCACTTCGACGAGCTGGAAGCATTGTCAATGATGCTTTCTCTAGAAACACCGATTGAGGGACCTGAGTCCTCGAGTGCGACGCGGCAGATCCCTTCGACGAGCTGGAAGTGTTGTCAGTGATGCTTTCCCTGAGGTTCGGGTTAGAAACCACCCTTCGAGGGAACCAAGTTATGAAGAACAAAGGGGCAGACAACTTCTAAGGACTTCAAGCATTGTCACCGATCCATGGGCTGAGCTTTGCCAAAGACACCACGGCGAGTCCAACCAGCCTTACCAAAGCGCAGATCAACACGACCTTGGAAGATATGGGGCCTTTGTCCAGCTCGCAAAGGAAGCTGCAGCCCTCAGTAAAATGATGGATACAGAGCACAAACCGGCGAAGCGGCTCAAGGATGCTATTGCCTTGCGTCAGAAACCATCGGATGACGAAGCTATCTCCATCTTAAACGTTCCTTTTTGTCTCTGGTGCTATGGCCGATGAAAACGGCCCCGAGCCTCTAGCGAGAACCCACCGAGCCTATCTACGGCCACTTGTGCTTTTAACCGACCTGGATGGAGCTAGCCAAGACAAGCTTGTCGGATCCGTGCAGTTGATGCTCAAGGATAACTTTAAAGATCACTCCAAGCACTACTTTGGAGACAATATCCAAGCCAAACCCGATGTCAAAATTTGGTCGCCATCCCGATGGCTCGTTCGCTCTATCTCCCAACAGGGACCCCACCGGGATTGCCTGGGTAATATCCATGCCCTTGCCGTTCTAGCTTTTCGATCTGGTCGTGTGGTGCGCGTATTGGAGGACGAAACCACCAGGCTATTGAAGGTGCTTCTCGAGCGGGGCATATGGAGTAGATGAAAACATCTATGTCATTCAGCTATGATCCGAAATTTACCTGCAGTTGAGTTCTGGAATAGATATCGACTTTGATTGTTACGGCCACCAGAGAGGATATGGTATGTAACGAATAGGCTCAGCTGCACAGGCGGCGGCACTCCCTGGCAATTGGCCAAAGCTGTGGAAACAGCCAATCTTCTGGCAGCATATGCCACATCCGCAGAGATGAGACCGTCTAGTGTCGGGTGTCGCTAGAATTCCTTCTGGGTGCGGACCGGGGTCTCGCAAGCCCTCTAGCTGTAAGGCCTTCTGTTGATAGGTAGCGTTCCTGCCATCCTGCGGTAGATGATTTAGTAGATAGCTTTCTAGCTTCTACCAGAACATCCTTCCAGCAGACTTTCGATCTTTCGGAGATTCATTCACCCTCTTCCATCATTCGCCGTCGCTCAATTTCGGCATCCACTTCGTCCAGTACCATTGGAATAGCTCTGTTCTTCCACCGACTGACCTCCGCCCGCATAAAGCCTTCTGTACTTTTCATGCCGACGACCAAAAAGCCAAGCTCTTCGCGATCGACATCAAAGACTTCCCACCACTCGCCATCCACAAGCTTGACCTCCTCCTCACGTGAAGCGAGGTAGATGGCGGCCACAGCCAGGGCGTTTGGTTGATGAGTGACATAAAGAAGCTGAGGTGAGAGAAGCGCCGCATTGAGGTGCTGGATGACCCGTTGGGCCACAGCGGGCTTCGTCACACCCAAAGTTTGAAGATATGTCAAAGCGATGGTGTGTGGTAGAGCGACATGCGTATCGAAGCCGAGAGTACGGAGGATAATCGTTTCGGTGCGGAGGAGGACTAGCCGGGCGGACTGATAGCCTCCCTCGGACAGAATGTAGGTTTCTGGGGATGGAGGGGTTTCAGGAGCCCCGCTCTGCCTCACAAACCACAAGGGTGATGCATCTTGTGAGAGGAGGAATGTGTAGACATTGAGGACGGAACGTGGGGAGGTCGGTTGGAAGGAGAGCTTCGCCGTCAGGTACAAGGCTGCAGCGGATACATCCTGCTCTGGTTAGTGGATCAGAATGCGGATCTATAATTCCTGGAGCTGGACTTACCTTGACTGAGTAGATTCGCAAGCTACCCCCGTCAGCGCCAAGCCAAAAACGCGTGAAGATCACGATGGCCTGGGCAATTGTATCTTGCGACAGGTGTAGGAGAACCCCGGCAGCTTGAGTCAGCTGCGCGCCCGCACAACGGATGGAAGTTTCGAGGTCAGACGGGATATTATCGATTGAGGATGAAGAGTTCGACAGTTGGTCGGGCGTTGCCAGGACGTTGGATAAATGCTTCAGACCGTCGGGAGCCATGACGCTGGGAGTTTGCAGAAAATGTGCAATGACGCAGATCCTCGTGCAGCTGAAACCATGCACAGCGGGAGCGGGAAAATTAGACGATGACGGGTATCAAACTCGAAGGAGTGGGAGGCAATGCTAATTTGGAGTACTCAGTATAATTAATCAGATTGGAAAGGAAGATGTGGTGGATCATGGAGGTGGAGAGAGCTCCAGGCCGTTCAGCCACCGCTATTTCGTTGCCCCAGCCTCTTGTTTTCCTGTTGCCAATTATTTTTGAGGGTGTTTTTGGTTTCAAATTCGAGAAAAATCAAGACTCAACGCTGTGAAACACAAAAAACTTCACTGAAACTCCCTGTATCCTTTTCCGTTTGACCTTGAATATATCCCAAGGGTCTGTTTCGTCCTTGATTCCTTCATACCTCCCCTACCGCAGATACCCCCCCCCCTAGGTTGCACACCAACGCCACATTGGGCCTGAATCGACGTGGCATTTCCATCCTGTCTGCTTGCTCTATCGAAATAACCCCTCAGAACATGTCTCCCGATCTCTCTCATGCACCTGTCACCCTGCATTCCGATGGCACGCAACCTCACGAGACCGTTGCCTTGACGCCCCCAAGATCGTCGGTCCCTCTAACCTCACGAAATCACTTGAAGA